TGAATTAAAATTAAGCATCACATATAATAAGGAGATAAATATCATTGTGTGGTTTGCTCCAAAAATGTTATAAAACAAAAGTGGGCATATGAAAGTGAATATGAGCTCATCAGACATCTTTTTCTTGAATTATCTGAATTTTCTTTTATCTGTTTAGACTAATTATAAAATTCCTAGTTACATTTAAGTAATTTTTAAAAATTATTATATTTAATATATAATCTAATGCATATATTATGTATTCCACCATTAAATTCGTTTTAGCACAATTAGACATATAGCTCTATTGAAATTAATTCAAGATTCTTAGATTAATATGCATTTTATTGCATTAAAATGCTTCTGAATTCAATGTTTTATTGTTGATTCACGTAATCAGAGTTAATACCTTTAGTATATTATCTGCATTTGCTTGTTACTTCTGTTTGCTTGCTGTTTCGTTTCTTGTGCTGGGGATCAAGATAATAATCTAGGCAGTCATCTACCACTAAGTCCTTATTTTATTTTTCTAAATGGAAGGATTTTATACCTTCAGATGATTTTCCTTTTATGTACACAAGGTTCTACATTATTTGTGATTGGCCTAATTCTACTGTCAGCCTGACTAGACATGGAGCCACCTAGGAGACACCCTGAGGCTATTTGCAGAGAAGGTGGATTAAAGAGGAAAAAACTACTTTGAATATGGGAGGTGCTGTGCCATAGTCTAGAGTCCAGAATGAATGAAAGGGAAAAGGGGAAAACTGCTTGAGTGCTAGTGTTCATTTCCCTGCTTCCTAACTAAAGTACAATGTAACAAGTGGCCTTTGTCTCTCTACTCTGATGACATGCATGGGGTCTTAAGTCACAAACAAATCCTCCATCTCTTAGCCACTTGGTAAGAAATACAGATTACTGATACTGGGAAGAGGGGCTGTTGGCCTGACAAACAATATTTGTAGTTTGCAGGCCTTTGACACTGGTCTGTGTAAAGTAGTTTTGTAGCTACGCATGGATGTTGTAATCAGAGCTTCATCAGATGTTCTAGTGGAAATGTAGAAAATAGAAGGGCAGACAAAAAATGGGCTCAGAAGGTTTTTGCACTGCTGGGAACTGGACTAAAGACCTTTAATGTCATAATGTGCTAAAAATACCTGATTTCTTCCTTAGTGAGTCTTGAGAAATCCAGTGAGGCTGGATAAAGATAGTGGTCTAATTTGTTTGGATGAAGGTTTAAAATAGCTTAGGATTCATGCTGTGTTGTGATTATTACTGACTCCTTTCAGGTTGGCAGTGGGAGAAAGCTGCATGTGGAGTGAAAAGTTGGGAAAATGAAAATTTGGTGAGGAAAGGAGCAAGTTTGCATATAAAGTTTCAGACAAAGTCAAAATGGAAAACAAGCAACACATTCCTGAAAAGATTTATGCAATGAAAAAGAAGCCTCACACAATTGACTGGAAAAATGTCCTGAAAGTCACCTTTAACTGATAAAAATACAAATTAATTGAAGGGAGAGAACCTGAATCCAGGGTGCTTCTAAAGTGGTTCCTTTCAACACCAACCACATGTGGAAGGATGTTTCCAGGTTTGAACACCAAGGTATACAGAGCCTACTAGAGCTATGCTAGAGATAAGATGGTTTGTCAAGCTGATAGCAGAATTTGGCAGCATTATTCTCCTGATGACAATCTTTAGAGATGCAAAATCAAAGACTCATGGGTTAATTTGGGCTTGCACTGAAGCACCAGAAAGCCTCTGAAGCCAGCTACCTTAGTGTAGGGTCAGCTTCCCTGCAAGGAATTCCTGAAAGGTCATTGATGAAGTTGCAAAAATGAAATCTAAATTTTGATGGAGAACCTAGAATGTTGGAAGTTCCATGATCTTGAAGTTAGTAGGCTGAAGAAAGCTGAAATCATAGCAACTGGAGTTAGCTCAAGAAAGACTATGCATTCTTCAGTCAGCACAAAGGAGATGAAACAGTCCAATTCTATTAGATCCAAGAAGATGCCACCATTCTTCCCAGATGGTGGAAATGGAGCTACAGTATTTGTTGGCAGACCTATTGAGTTTGGTTTTGTTTTGGCCTCATCTTCTCTTACCAAATATCCATGCTTTCTTTCCAGAATGAGCATATTTCTTTTGTGGCATTAGTTTCAGAAATATTTAACTTATCTTTTTTTATTTTACAGGTTTTCTGAGTTAAGAGATCCCCTTGAGTCTTAGAATAAATTCTTACTTAAATTCTTCCTTTAGTTATTTTTGACAGCACGAAGTCCAACCACTAATCTAATATGACTTATGAATAGTAATATCCTATCTTGAATTATATATTTCCATAATTTTTCTTATAGTTCTTATAATTTAAGACTCCAAATAATCCACAAGATAAAATGTAAAGTATTTCTCTTTAATGTGTAATTTAAAACTTGTTTACAATAATAATTTTAAACAATATGTAATCAGGAAACAGCAGCTCAGTTAGTCATAGGATTATTTCCAGTGAATTCTCATGAATTTTGAGATAAAAATCCAGGATACTAAGCCCCAGTTGAAGATTAAACCCCAAGTCTGAGAGCATACTATTTAGAAGTCAAAGACAGGCATGTAGTTATATAGCAGGGGCAATGAGGAGAATGTCAGGCTAGGGCACAAGTGGAATCGCTTGACAGACACACCTTGCAGTTTAGAGGGTAAGAGGTACACCCAAGACGAAGATTGGTCAAGGAGTTTAGCCTCTGAAACTCAAAATTCCAGAAAATGGCAAGTAGATTCACAAAAGAGCAGCAATTGTTCATGTACTTAACCAAAACAAAAGCTTTCTGATCTTATCCTCATGATGGGTGAACTCCAGCTTGATGATAAAACTCTCAAGGTCTGTTTGATGGTTCATAAGGTTATGCATGCTGTAGAATATGCTGAAGAATGTTGGACTATCTTTAAATTTCAAGTGTGTTTCAATAAAAATGTTTATCTATATAGATATGTGAAATGTGTATGAAACATTCATAAATATTTAAGAATGATATGTATTTATGGTCCATAAGGAGACACGTACCTACAACAATAAAATTGTTCTCGGATACTTTTTGTATTGAGTACTTTGTGTCCATTGATGCTTTTTCTTCTTATACTTCCATGTCAGAAAACATAAACATTTTGTAACTAAATGAGTAAAGTCATCCATCATCTTGTGATCACTTTTTTCCCCTGTCTTTGACTTTTGTGAACCTAGTGCTTTTTTATAATCAAAATACAATTATTATGTAGTTTTCCAGAAGGAGAAATTAGCCCTCATCACTGGACTGATTTGTTGTTGATAAGCAAATGGGAAATGTTAGTGCAGATTCTAGAGTAAATTAATCACTTCTGAGAATGAAGTGTTTGGTGGACCAAGTTCTGTCATCAGAAACTTACAGGCAATTAACACTGGGATTCTCTTCTAGCAGTGTGGGAAGATGTGGACAGATTTCATCCTTTGTGTTTACTTTGGACAGCTTTGTCCCCACAGCTCACTTTATAGCAATGGCATGATTTGCATGGTTGGGTTTTTGATACCAAAAAACAAACAAAACAAAACAAAAAACTGTTCTTTGCAAAAGAGGGACTCCATCAGGAGGCTATTCCACAGTTTGTCCATTTTTCAATCCAAGCGGTAATTCATAAATTTCTGTATCTAATGTGAACCACAAGTAAAGTTGTGTTATAACCAAGTTTCTAGTGTAAGTGATGTTGCACTTTCAGTTCCTCAGTCCCCACCCAACACAGACACCCCACTGTAATTTACAGTCCAATGAACTCATTAATAGAAATTATTTTTTCAGTTTTCAAGTTCTTATCTTCTTTTTGCCAAGCATAGTCATATTTTCCAGTTAAGACAATGCTACAAGAGAAAATGAACTTCAGACACATGCTTCAGTACAGCTGTCCCCAGAAGACATTGGACTAAGAGATACAGCCAGAAATCTAAGGGCACATAGCAGATGATTCTCCTATAAGTTCCCAAATTCACTAAGACAGAAAGTTTAATGGAGGTTTCCTGGGACTGAGGAGAGAACAGTTTGGGTTTATTCATTAGTGACTAGAGAGTTTCAGCTTATGGTAATGAAAATGTTACATAGGTGGGTGGTGATGATGGCAATACCACAATGTAGAGGGAGCTAAGAATACTGAACTATGCCTTTAAAGAAGTAAGGTTACATATAATTTTACTTACATATTGTGAGAAGTCGAAGAATGGGGATATTAGACAATTTAGGATATTTTAGGCTACTTACTGATTTTCCAGTTGTTAGATTTTTCTATTTTTCATGTTTACCATAATTAAAACTTGATGGTATAAGCAGAAATAATGCTAACATGCTATATTCTAAGCCTAATGTAACACCAACAACAAATGAGCAAATCTGGCTTTTGATTATCCTTAATACTTAGTCGCTTTTACTTGTATTTTTAATTCACATATGGATATAACACACATTGGTCATATTCCTCTCTAAAATTCCTATTTCCCAATACTTTTCTCAAAACTTTGTGTTCATTTCTTTATGCCCATTTGTGTGCATGTGTGAGGTAATCAATTGGGGCAAAGCTAATTTTCCAATGGTCACCATGCCCCCCCCAAAGTGATTCTCTCTCCTTTAGTAACCATCTACTGACATAGGTCTGCAACTAGAGGTAGGGCATCATGAACCACTCTGCTTTCCAGTTAGAATTTCTTTCTAATTCTTTTTTTTGCAGGTAACAATATCAGCTAACAGTATACATTTAACAGCCATTTTATACCTAGAATCCAGCCTATCTTGGCATCCCTCCCTATCCATTGGCTCTTAAATTCTTTCCACACACTCTTCCATTATGTCTGCTGATACAGGTGTTCCATTTGTGGCACTCACAGTCACTTATTTTCAGTATTATGAATGGCTATTAGTCTTGACATTGAACACTCCTTCTGTGAAGAGGAACTTCTCTGACCAGAGTTGAGAATACCACAAATCTATGAATAGACATATAAATTTTCAGTGGAGAATTTGCCTACATAGTTTTGCTTTGTTTTTAATCAGAATCACATCAATAGGTTCTCTCCTAGTTAGGGCCAATGGCTTTTCTAGTTACAGATTTTCATCTTCTTTTTAGTATCATGCATTCATTCCCTCCTATGGAGAAGGCCTCAAATCTAATCAAGAGAATGGTTTGTTACAGTTGTTCCAATATTATCCAGTGATACCATATTGCCTCATAGTCCCAAGTTATAGCATTCATTGCCCAGCATAAGGTAAAGCTGTTGACCTCATTTTTTTTCCTCAACACAGATTCTGCATAGAAATTTCAAGCACAGTGAAAGCTATCTAGCAATGATAGTGTTTCTTTGTCAGTTCAACACTGATTTCTTTATATCCTGAAAACAAAGTGTGAGGTGTCTTCAACAACAGGATTTTACCATGTAGTTCTTAAGGACAACCAGAAGAAATACAATGCCATATATTGATTTTGTGCCTCTGGGAACTCTGTGATCAGTAATTTGTTGGAAAATCATGTATAAAGGAAATGATCAACTGCTTAAGGAGGCAGCCAACAGAATGGGAAATCTTTACCAACCAAACCTCTCTGAACAGAAGATTAGTGTCTATAAATATAAAAAAATATCAAACTACCCAATTGAAAATTGGGCTATGGATCTGGACAGAAAATTGCTAAAAATAAATACAAAATACTATTAAACCCTTTTAAACATTTAGCATCCTTAACTTTCAGTGAAGTGGAGTTAAACATGGCTTAAGGTTCCAACTCATTCCAGTCAGAATGACTATCATCATTGATGTAAGTGGCAATGCATGCTGTCATCGATTTGGTGAAAAAGTAATCTTTTCAAACTGCTTGAAGGGAATGTAAACCAGTACAGTAATTTTGGCATGAGTCTGGAAGTTTCTTCAAAGATATAGAACTAGAACTGCAGTATGATCCAGATATACTATCCTAAGTATACATCCCCCAAAACTTTTATCTTACTACAATTATCACTGTACATCTATGTTTGCCATTCGATTCACAATTTCAAAACAGAATCAGCTTAGATGTCCCTCAAATGGTAGATTGTGAAAATGTGGCATATACTCAGTTATGTAGAAAACATAAAGCATGCCATTTGTAAATAAATTATTGGAACTTAAAAGAAACTTCATTTAGTGAAGTCACCCATGTCCCAAAAGAAAAGGCATTAACATTTTATCTTATACATAGGCTTTAGTTTCCAATCTTGTATTTTATGAGTTTAGCCAGAAGTACATGTGTTATTCAGGGAGATAGTAATGGACCAGAACGTTTGCTTTTAAAGAGTGGGATAGGTTATATATAAGGTGGTAGTGGAGTGATGGCTATTTCAAAATATATGGAAAGGAGATTTAACCAAAATGAAATGTGCATGATAAATCTACTTGGGAACATGTTTGGAACCATGATCTTTTAATCAAGTAAAAATCATAATAAGAAGGAATATTGTAACACATTTGTGATAGACAGTAATGAATAAGAAGGATAGTGGGAGCTAAAGGTTTAATCACGTAGGACATGGGGTTTTGGCAACGTGAAGTATAGGAATGATTTAAACCAAACTGAAGAAGCCTGCAGAAATTCCATGAAGCCTTGCTAGTTTGTAAGCTACTCAAAACATAATTAAAAAAATTTAAGGAGTTTGACATGAGTATCCTACATGGGCACAAATGTTACTCAAAGAAGACAGGTTATTAAGTGAAAGTCTCAGTTGCAGGCACAGGTTTCTTATGTGTATCTATGAAAGTCAAGCACAGTAAATTCATAGAATGAAAAAAAGCATGAACTCAGTAAGTGAACTTTTCACCTCCCAGCAACACTGTGCTTTTACTCAGTTTTAACATCTGCAATCACTGTAGAACAAGAGACAGAAATGGTTCATTTGGTTTATGAATAACAAAAGAATTTAGGGATAGGGAACAACTCACAAATGTCAAAAGGAATTGGGATTGTTCCATGTGTTTCTGCTTCTATTGATCAAGATGGCATGCTTAAGAATAACTGTATTTTCAAACTGGAGAGAACAGACCACAGACATGCTTTTTACAACCAGTAGAGCAAGTCACCCAGCATTGAGTGTGAGGGAACACATTATAGAACATGATCCCTGGAAGGACCAGATGTTTCTCTTCAAAGGCTTAGGTTTCATTAGATCGAAGACATCTACATTGTTCTGGTCTAGAAAGAATGAGTTATCCAAAAATGATCAACTTCAGTTTCTTGTGAGTCCAGAGAGTTGGTTTTCTTCGATAGATTTGATTTGACTTAGAACAATGTTATGTAATGAGTTAATTTATGGTTCTCTGAGTGACTGAGTTCTATTTCCTAAAAAATCTGTTAAGTGTATGCCCCATCTGACCATCAGCAGTGCCTACCTATATTCTTTTGGAATAAAAATACAGAAATATACTTCAGTTTGATATTCCATCAAAAAACCTGATATTTCTGTTGGTGTCTGTATCTGAATCAATGGCCCATGTTTTTTAATGCTTTTGAACTGATATACTTATCTGACATTCTGTGACCCTATTGGTTAAAATACTTCTGGCTGTGTAACTTCTACTTTTACCATGAAATGGTTAGCTTTGAGCTATTCATTTGAACATGAATGTGTTCTTATTTTATGGTATCAGTAAAAAAAGAGAATATTGGTTAAAATCTGAACATTCCTGCCATGGGTCTGAATGACTCAGCAGTTTATATAAATTCTGAGCCTTAATTTTTGGCTTTTCAAACTGTTGTCCCCTTGTTCCAAGTGTTTTATATGCTCCAGTTCCACTGGTATATCTCTGATTGTCGCAATGCCATAGATCTTATTATCCACCATATGTTTGATGCTTATTCCTTTTGGCTTGAAAATATTGTATGGAAGTCCCCTAACATATATGGATAGGTAATTTTGAGTTACTACGGAAACTCTGATAATCAACTTTAGTTAAAATTGAAATTATACCAAATTTTGTGGGAGCACATTTGGTAATTTAATATGTTGTAGTTTGAATCAGGTGAATGGGTAATAG